TGGCAGATTATGTGGCTAAGATCTCAGGACTGCTGCCAGCTCCCTTTAATAAATGTACTCTCTGTCCCCTGAAGAACAGAGTTGGGAACAGGAAGGGCCTTTGAGGGGCTCACCTGTCCAGATGAAAGGCTGCTATTTCTGCATTGTGTCGTTCAAAGTCCGAGAAGTAAAAGAAATCTGCTGGGGTCTCCTGGTCCCGAGTCTGCCTGAAATGGAAGGGAATGTGGGTATGAAACAGAGGCAGTTGAAGCTTCCAGTGCTGAGTCTAAACCTGCTTATCATATGGGCGAAATTTAGAGTTGTTCACATTGTGATCCAGCTCTATGTCACTTCCCCCTCCAAACTCACTGTGAACACCAGAGCCGTACAAACCACTTTCCAACCTGCCATCATTTGCTGCATGTTTCATAGATTCCAAAGCCAGAAGGGACCATTGTGATCTCCTAGCCCAATGGTTCTCAACCCTGGGGCTGCTTGTGGCCCAATCATGCAGGCCATGTGACACCCTCAGGGCCATACAGTACGCAGCTGCGGCCCACACAACACACAGAGAGCTGCTTATGTGGCTCACTGTGATAAGTAGGTTGAGAACCACTGATCTAGCCTGACCTCCTGTATAACCCAGTTCCCAGAAAATCCACCACAACCCTTGGTAAATTGTCCCAATGATGAATTACTCTCCCCATTAAAAATGTACACCTTATTTCCAATCTACATTTGTCTAGCTTCCACATCCAGACACTGGGTCATTTTCTGCCTTTCTCTGCTAGATTGAAGAGCCTATGAAATAAAAATTCTATTACATATTTGTTCCTCACAAAGATATTTATAACCTGTAAACAAGTCACCCCTTAACTGTTTCTATGTTAAACTAAGTAGGCTGAGCAATTTGTGTCCATCATTGTGTCAGGTATATTTCCTAATCTTTTAATCATTGTTATGTCTTTTCTCTGACCTCACTCCAATTTATCAACACCCTTCTTGAAGTGTGGTGACCAGAACTGAATACAGCATTCCAGCAGCAGTTGCATCAATCCCAAATACACCCTGTTTATATATCCCAGGATTGCATTAGGTCTTTTGGCCACAACATCACATGGAGAACTCATGGTTAGCTGATTAACCACCATGACCCCCAAACCTTTTTCAGAGTCATTGCTTCCCAGAACAAGTGTCTCCCATCCTGACACACACACACACACACACACAGTCATTCTTTACATATACATGCTGTCAGGCCTTTAGCAGCCCTGGTACATCATGTTGGCTGCCCCCTTTTTATTTACAAAAACACTGCAGAGGCTCAGGAGGCACCCTGAGCTCGGGGCCCCCCAGAACAACTGTCCTCCCTTCACCCCACACCTCATAAGCCCTTCATGCTGTGCAAGCAAAATACAAAATACATTCTAAGAAGATGCTTCCCTCTACCGCTAGAGGTCGCACCACACCATGACAAACAAAGAGCTGAACTGCATGTCTCATGTGTTCCCGGGGAAGGAGGTGTCAGTGGGGGAATTCACCTAAAATCCCCAGCTTCCTGTATGGGGGCTCAGAGAAGTGAGCCCTTGGAATAATGCTAGAGACCCTGCCTCCCTCCACCTCCTAGCTGGATGTCCTCACTAGGTAATGAAAATATTTAAGATGAGCCCAAGCCTGGGGTGCTTTGATCCAGGATATTGGTTCTGGCTCATCTCAGGAACTGATAGGGCCCTGACCCCTCTTACTCACTTCATAGGTTTGAAGAGTGCCTCCCCATAATTTGGGAACGACATGATCAACTTCAGCTGGGTCCCTCCAGGTTTCTGGACTGAAATGAAACAGACAAGAATCAGGGTCAGGGCAGGAGAAAAGGGGCAAAGGGACTGAGGAGAGGAACAGACATAGAGAGAGAGAGGGACAGAAAGCAATGCAGACACAGGGCATGCTTGAGGAGGAAAGCAAAGACTGGTACCTGAGCCGATGATTTTCTGCGTAGCCAGTTCCTCCAGCAGAGTGGGAGTGATGGGGTCCTGGCGGGGATACAGCTCATAGCGATTGATGCCAATGTGGAATTTGAGCCATGTGGGGTAGGTATCATATGGAGTCTTCCCGGTTGGAAGCACCATCTCTGCCTTACTGCTGCTGATCCTGCAGCCCAAAAGCCACCCCCACATAACAACAACAGGGTTTAGGACATGCACTGTGTACTCTCCATCTCCAAAGAGCCTTCTTATGGTCACACCAACACAAGATCAGCCCCTTCTCACACAGCTACCAGCAAACACGAAGCTGGGAAGGGCTAAGGAGAAAATGCACATGGGTGATGAGTATCAGAAGCATGGGGAGGCTAAGTCTTCCCATAAGGGGCAAGGAATGCCAGATGCACCACACCTCTCTTTGGAGGCATGCTGGCCCACCATTTCTGCAGTGGTGCTAGCAGAGGCTGCTGAGAGGTGAGGACACCACTGGCACCCGGCCCATGGGCTTGGACCCACCTATGCTCTATCTTAAGGCGCTGCTTGGCTTCTTCTGTCACCCCTTGAGATCCCTCCCAGCCTGTAGCTCACTCATGTTCACCCCCTCTCATCCTCCAATTCCTTCCCCTTCAGGCAGAAGGAGACAGAGAAGAGTGATGGGTGTGTGGGACTTCAGAGGGAGAAGGGTGGGTGGGGCCACAGTCCAGACCATAGTGTTTCCCCCACTTCTAGGGACTTTCCATCACTCACACCCAGCCTCCCCAAAGGCAAGAGCCATGTACCAAGAGAATGGGAGCTCACTCCCTGCTATTCCAGGCCAAGGCTCCTACACACACCTCAGTCCTGACTTATAGTATCCCTAGTTCTTCCTGGATTGGGCCCCCACAGTGTACCCTGAATCTGTTCTTATCCGATCACAGATATTTTAGGGCAGACCAGACTTTGCCCCACAGTGCCTGCTGGGCACAGAACAAAAAGGATGCATTATTTGATGAGCTAAGAAAGATTCCAAAATGTCTCTTTAAGAAAAGCAACAGCCGCTCAGATTTATACCGCTCAGCCCTGCTTTGACTGTACTTTTACCTGGGGTCCAAATCTAGCTGAATTCTTTCCAGCATAAGGATTACCAACAGTGAATACAGTTAGTTGCATGATACCAATTATTTTAAAGGAGTCATCTGTATTTATATATTTTAAAATGCTAAGGGGAAAAAGGAGATTCATAGCTATTTTTCAGAAATAATCTCAATGCTGATCCTTTGTTCTGACCCACCATTTCCCTTTAATTTGTCATGCACCTCTGATTTACCCAGGGAAATGAGTTCACAGTATCTGTATTAAAATTATACTGTGTATTTTCTGCACACTTGCATTATTATATTATATTAAAAGTAGCATGTAGGCCCAGATCTGTAAAGGTACTTAAGTATCTAGCTCCCATTGAAATAATAGGAGTTAAAAGCCCTAAATACCTGTGAGGATCTGGGCATTTGAGAATAGGTCCCATTCTGCCATGTACTGTACAAACATGGAATAAAGAGACAGTTCCACCCTCAAAGAGTTTACTATAATCTAAATCTACTCCCATCCCCTGAAAGTATATTGAAATGATACCATCTGATAGTTACACCTTAAAGAACACATACCTATCTTCCAAGTTAAATTATGGACACACGACAGAGTAATCTTCAGAAACAGAGTTAAGGTTGTTTGTGGAAAATAGCTATGCATTTTTCATTCTTTCTAACTTTTATTTTTAATAACTGCAATGTCCTGAAAATTCGATTCCTTTAAAGTATCCACTGCATATTCACAATAGCAATTACTAATTGGCTTTTATTTCTTCATCTAGGAATAGCAGTGACTGCCAACAGTGGAACATGGGGGATGCAAATAACCATTATGATATGACAATAGTGTGATCATTGACCACCAATCCTGTGCAGATCACAGAGCATCTTATGAAAGGCAAGGCAGGAAGTAACCCTAAGATTGGAAATAACCTAACTGTTGCTCATCTCATTTCAAGGGGCGGGGTGCTGTCTGGAGAAAGAGAATGCAAATGGTTAGCGCTATGGATAGGAGGAAGAAGACTTCTCACACCCTCAGAGATTGAAGGCTACTAGGTTTGGAAAGGAGGTAAGATACAATAAAGATAACTTATATAAGATAGTGAATTGCACAGAAGTGGCCAACCCAAAAGCTTCCATTTGATTTTTCATTGATCACAAGGAGGCCCTTGCATTAAAGGGAAGTACATTTAAAATGGACTAAAGGAAATATTTACTCAGATCATCTGATTTTGGCTGCCGAATTTGAGCCACTTTAATGGAGCCTGGTTGTCAGAAAGGCTGTATGCCTGCATCTCTGAGGAACCTTCAGTGGGGCTCTTAAAATCACCAGTCACTTCTGAAAACAAAGGCCATAGCCACTACATAACAAGTGGAATTTACTGCTGCAGAACAGCAGAGGCAAATACCTTAGTACAGTTCAAAAGGAGGCCTTCTATGAGACATGGAATAATAATGACTCTGACAGGATAAAGTTGCAATGGCCCATGCTTCCAGGGCCATCCCACAACATTTTGGCACCTGAGGCAGGGAGCTCAAATGATGCCCCATGCCCCTTCGCTTGGGCCAAAACTTTGAAAGATCTCAATTCTGCCTTCTTCCTGTTCTACTCCTCTCATGGTATTGCAGAGAGAATACATATGCACCAGCAGCAGACACAATTTTCTACATTGTGGGTCCTAGTGGCGCCCCCCCATAGTCTGGCACCTGAGGCGGCCGCTTCAGTTCACCTCATGGTAAGACCAGCCCTGCATGCTTCAGAGCATAAGCTGGTCACCTGCTCAGTTCAAAAAATCCCTATCCCCATTAAAATATGGCATAGTATGCACAGTTAAGGTACATTGTGGGAATTTGTTCCTTCCTGCAAAGGATCTGACAGTGGCCACTAATAGAGGAAGACCCATGGTTGGCTTTATCTGTACATGGGCAGCAGCTTAGGATGCCACATTTATGGCCACATCCCTGTGCTAGAACACAAGCTCTGCAAAACATTCTGGGACTGGGATCTAGCCCCAAACCGAGCAGGAAGGAATGAGTTGGGATGCTAAAATAATTATTTAGCCAAGATCCAAATACACTTAGAGCCAGCGTTGGACACAACAGCCCACTAGATGATGGACTATAGGTTGGTCTGGTTACTGTGTTCCAGAAGAATACACTGAGTCAGGTGGTCTCTCACCATTCATCACTCCCACTGCTTTTCAGTGTAAACTTCTCTTTGGGATTGACAGTGAAGAGCTTGTCTTTCTCCATTAGCTCTGGGATTGGCATCTTATAGAGGGGATGCTCAAAGAGTGCTGCCAGCTTTGATCGTCCTGCCCGTGCCAGTTTCACACCTGCCCACTGGTGCTTAAAGTCCCGGTCTCTGAGAACCATCTTGGGTCCACTGCCTGTTGGCGGCCTCCCTTCTAGTAAGCGGGAGCCTTTCTCCACCGAGCTGTTGCTGCTGCTGAAATCCTGAAGGATCCTCAGGCTCAACTTTTTTTGGACTGAAACTACTGGGGTAGGTGGTGGGAGGCCCAAGGGGTTCGCTGCTTTTGAGGAACAGCGGCAGGAGCTGGGAGTAGCTGGGAGAACTAAGTCCAATGCCATGTGCATCAGGAGAGCCAGCAGGAGGAGAAAGAAGAGCAAAATTTTAAACTTCCTTTGGAGCAGAGTCTGCAGTCGGCGTAACATCTTCTCCAGGCTGATACAAATTTCCAAAGGGGGTAGGTAGAGAAGAGTTAATACAGCAGAGCGATCCCCTTGCCCAAAACAAGAATGATGGAGAAGTCCCAAGCAGCGCAGCAGAAAATCCCCCTGGCTTTAGAGATTCAATGTTAAAAAACAAGGGCAACGCAGCAGCTGGAGTTTGCAGGTGAAAACTAAACTAGCAACACGTGTCACCTTCTCTTCTGCCACTGTTGCCGTCTCAGTACAAAAGGTGATTGTATGTGTCCCCAGCAGTACGTCCAGAGCAGCTCCAAGGTCCCTTGTGGAGAGGACCCCCCGAATGTGGCAGCTGTCAGCAGGGCAGAGAGAGGAAGGAAGGTTGCAGCTTGGTTTATCAGTGTTGATAAGGGAAGCGCGGGCAGTGCCAAGGGTTAGAGTGAACGGGGCAAGTTCCAGATCAATAGTAGGAGACTGTTCAATGACAGAAGTGACTTCAGACAATCCTCTCACCTAATCCACTCTGCAGCCTCTCTTCCCAACTGCTCCCCACATATTCACACACGTGCCCCCATTATCCATTCACACTATCAACTCACTCCTACATACAGTACCCACTCACCTACTCCTACCGACTCACGTACCTCCCTCAGTCACCTTGACATATCCACTAATATACCCCCACACACATTTGCATTTGTGTCTATATGCATGCACCTACAGCCACATATTTAGTCACATAGAAAGAACTTGCTCCCACCACCTGTTCACAAAGGGACACTCAGATATCTCACACACACATAAATATACACTCAAGTCAACCTCATGTACACTCACATCCCCTCTCATATCTACAAGGCCCCTAAAATATACCAACCTCTTCACTGGTACATATAGAAACACTCAAGCTGGATATACCAACAATTTAACTATTGGCAGAACTAGGGGAGAGACGGGACTGGCACGTCAAGGGTGGCTGCAAATCAGGAGTGAGATGTGCTGGCAAAGCTGCTTCCAGGGTCCCAGGCTTGGAACAGCAGAGGGTGCTGTGGGTCAGGAGCAAGAGGGATAGTACAACTACATCGGGGGGGGGGGGGGAGCAGATCCTAGAACTGGAATAATAGAGAATGTTTTGGGTCAGAATTTAGCTGCATCATCAAATCTAGGGTAGGGTTCCAGCAGTGGAATAGCAAGGGGTGCTGATGTCATGCTCAAGGTGCCATGGAAGAGTTATGCAAGTACCTGCACTATATGACACCTGCCGGTTGTACTACCTTCCTTTTGCTGATACTGCACTTTTTAGACTAGGACTAGCAAGAACAGAAGTGTGAGAAAGCTGCATCTTCAATAAATTTCAAATTAGCTTGCTAGCTACTTTGAGCCAAATGTATTTGGATGATTTCAATCATTTTGAAGAGCTCCTTAGCCCTAGGAAACCTTCCTGCTTCTTTCCACTGACGTACAATTATGCAAAGCCCATCATGCAGGCCAAAGAAGTAAACAGAAGAGAAAGTTTCCCAGATTTAACACAGCCCTGCAAAGCTGGCAATCACAAACTTATTGTAACAGCCACTAGGGGCCGGAATGTCTTGAAGTGAAAGGTCAGCACTGGGGTACAGGAGTCAAAGATGCCAGTTTTCCTTTTAAAACTTTCCTTTCACCTAAGAGGTCTGGGGAAAGGAGAATGGATAATTCAGGGGGCTGGAGCTAAGATGTGAAATCCTTCATGGCCATGTCAGCAGATTAAACCTGGGCCTAGGTCCGGGGGGCTGGATGACCGGAGATTCTTTTCACACATTCCTGACTCGGTATCACTCCCACAGGATTCTGACACACAGGCATATGTAGATGTTCCATAGGACACACATACACACACAGCTGCTGTGGTGAGAATGATGAGTTCTCTGCTTGTTCATGTCCCGTGGTGCGATGGTTGCCTAGTAACCATCTCCAGCTGATACTTTCTGCCGCCCCAGATTCTGACAACGCTATATTTCATTCCTTTGCACTGCAGTAATAACATGGCCGACAGTAAATGAATGGATCTTATTTCCCCTTTTAGTCTGTGTTAAAGATATTAACTCTTAATTGCATCCATGTTCTGGTGCTCACATGAGCAGAGCTTTCCAGCAAAATGACTGACCTCAAGTCCTGCTGACCTAGCCAGGCAGTAGGGGATGGATAATACAAAGCCCTTCACAGGGCAGTCATTGGTTCCAAGTTGGGATTGTGGATGGAATACAGACCCATTAGGTTAGTGCTTCCCAGAGGTTTTTAACCACCTGGTAGCTATTTAGAGGCTTATGTCAAATGAGTTGGTTCCAATGAGGACCCCACAATTGAGCAGTGGGGTTTTTATGTTCTGTGTCACAGGTCTAGGACTAAGCTGGACCTGTATGTGAGGACCCCACACCTTCCAGGGCACAGAGTTAGCCTGAGATCACTCTGCTCTGTGGGTGGGGATCCTATACGCAGCTTGCGACCTCATATTCAACTCCTATTCATATGTGTTGGAGCCTGCTTGTTAACAGAGATCCCAGCTTTACGCCAGGAGCATTCAAAATCCTCGTCCCTAGTGGCAGCAGTGATTTAGTGTCACAGCAGGATGTAGAAAGTAGGCTGGGCGGGGTGCTTGCAACCCTCAGGCTCTGAATCACTTCAATGCCAGCATTAAATATTAACTGAAAGATTTTTCATGGAGTCAGGTCTGAGCCTGCAGTGAAAGGAGAGATGGAGAGCTTCAAAGCTAACACTTCTCATCTGGCTGTGTGTCAGAGCACTCTGTTGCCATGACATCGTTGCAGAGAAGTGATCAGATTCCTGCCTCCCATTCCTCACCTGCTTGCTGGAGTTGAGTCACCCTTGGGGCAGGGAGTCCATGATGGTCCTTTCCAGTGCTTTTATGGAATCAGGACTTCCTACCATGCAGTACAATAGCAGAACACTGCATTCCTTCACTCTCCTCCCAGCAAAGTAAATCACAAATGATGTGCTGCTAATATTTGGGTATTGAAGCATTATGGTCCTTCCCAAGTAGCAGACAGGAAGGGTCATGTTGGTTGATGCCAACACATGCCACCCTGCAGTTTTTCACTTCCCTCTCCATCTGTGACTCAAGCACCGTCCTTTGGTAGGTTGATGGTAACAGCACATGGACTAGGTGCAAGAAATGTCACACTAAGACAAACCTCTCCTCTCTTCACCCTCAACATAGGAGAAACACAATTGCTGTCAGCCCAATGGTCTCCTACTTGAAATTCCTTTGCTGACACACTCTTGGAACAAATTTGTAAGGCATACACTCCAGCCAGTGATGAAAGGACTGTAGCTACTTCCATTCCAGGAAGGAGTAGGCCCCAGAAAGACTCATGACTGTTGGCTACAGCCTGAAATGGTTATAGGGGATGGCATAGGAGAACATGTGTATCTCCGGCTGCCCCAGTTGCACTTGCTTTAGAAAACTCAGGAGTTTTATCTTTCGGTCATGGGGTTAATTGCTGGGGACCATCCAACTTTGGCAAATAGTGCTTGTTTTGTGCAGGTCACAGAGACATAGCTGAAGCCACATGAGCATGAGACAGATAACAGACAGACAGTGGGTCCAAGAGATTGTTTGCTGAGGTAACCCCTTCCCTCTCAATCTGATCTCTACAGGTCAGCCTGACCCCTTGAGCATCCATGACCAGGATGCATGTGTATGTGTGCATGCACAGCTATTAACTATTCATTACTATGAAATAAATAAAATTAAAGAAACTAAAGTGTGTTTCAGAAAAGCCATAACAGACTGCAAACCCAAAAGAGGCAGGATCTCAGAGTCTCTTGTCTGACTTACCGTTCAGGCTCTAAGGAATGTAAATGTAGTGTGAGGAGGATGAAAGACTTAGAACACAAGGACCAAGATTTTCACTGGCCAAGTGTCCAGATTACCCTGGAGCCCTTTCCAGTAGTGCTCAGTTAGTTTTTAAAAAGGAGGAACTGGTTTGTTGGTGGGCTGCAGCACGCTAGTTCCTATGAGGTAAGAGAAGGGGAGTAGGTGGCTCTGGCGATACAGGTATTTTCTACTCTTAAGTCACCGGTTCCACGTTGGCAAGGAGGTAGAATTCCATTTCCCATCTGAAAGGTGAGGTCTACATGAAAGGACACAGGCCTTTGCTCCTACTGCACGTGACATGATCTCAATGAAAAATAAATTCTGATGGCATTGGCATTATTAGATTATGGGTTTACAGTACAGCCAAGCATTTTTCAGATCTTCTAAAAAGGATGGTCCCTGCCTTTAGAGCTCACATATTTATGCAAAACAGAGATTAGGGAACAAGGCTAACAAATGGAGATTTTTTTAATGCAAGTCAATTAGTTCCACTGTAGGCAGTAATGGGTCATATGGACTAAAATGTACACAAGGTAGGGACCTTGAGGATAGACAACAACCTGCACGGATTGTAGCACTTGTTGGGCTCTCTTCTGAAAATGTCAATGATTAAATGAGCCAGAGACTCAAATCCTCTTTAGAGGTTGTCCCTTTAGAACAGGACTGAGATAGATTAGCAGACGGTACAAGGGGTGTAGCTTGCCCTGCTGCTGCTTTTATTGAACCTGCTTTAGGGATAAACAGAAGACTTTGGTCTCCAGCACTGCTGATCTGGCAACTTTCCTTCAGCACTGAAACCGCCCACCAGCACAAAACCAAAATTAAAGAGGACAGAACTCCTTCCTCCCACCACAAGTTACCGAGCCAACAGCCAAGGGAGTGAAGACATGTCCCAAGCATGATGTCTGAAGTAAGTCACAGTTGGCTGCCTTCCCTTTGTGCCCACACCTTGATGCGTTCTAAAGAAAAAACCCAAAACACAAAAGCCCTCATTGTAAAACTTTTTATTGTTAAAAAAATCCCCATATTCATATAAATAAATCACTTATGTAAAATACAAGTAGGTTCATTCTCTCTCTTAACACCTTCCCCACAGCTTTAAAAAAGATAAAGCAGACCAACGAACAAATGTATATTAAACCTAAGATGACTGACAAACTGGCAGCTCACATGGAGCTCCCTCCTACTACAAACCTCTAAATAAGGTATTGATTGTGCACAATACTGGCATCCATGCTGTGCCCAGATCTTTTGCTTCCCTTAAGAATACATTAAAATGCTGTATTGAGTTCTCACCCACTCCCCAATGTGCCAGCAACTGCAAACATTTTAGAGCTATGCTGCTGCTTAGTAGGTGTGAGAAGGAGGGGTCAGTTTGCATAGCAACTACCCACTGGGTTTGGATTTTTAATTTATCTATTTCTTCTCACACCCAGGCAATTCAGCTGTCATGTTCTTGGCCCAGAGAGTGGGAGAGAAGTGCAGGAAAGCAGACTTAGCCCCTAGCACTGTTTGGGACAGTGTGAGAGGATTCTTGTTATGACCTGTTCCAAGAGGTCATCCAAGATGGAGAAAGAAAGAAAACAAGAAACAAAACACTGATGGATCAGAATGGGACAGACATTGGTCTCCAGAACCTTTCTATGGTGTAGGAGGGACTTCAAAGAAGAGAGAAACCAGTGTGGAAATATGAGAGAAAAAGATGGTATAGCTTGATTAGCACCCTTTTTCCTTTTGCACACACTCCTAGCTCTGATGAATGGCTTCATAAACATCCTATGGGTTTACCTGCCCACCAGATCCCTTCCTACCCTTATCATTTAAGCAAAGAGACACACAAGATTGAAGTGAGATACTCTTCAAACTTGTATTAGATAGTTCAGTAGATTTTACTCACACACAGAGTATCTCAGGAAACTAGTATGTAAGTATGAAAAAACCCACCCAAAATTTCCTATTAAAATAAAGCCCTGCCTCAAGATTGTACAAAAACCCGAGAAAGAGAAATCCCTTGTATGTGGTGAGCCAGGGACATGAGATTTGTCAAGAGCACTTCCAGACACAAACAGCCAGGCTGCCGCCAAAGAACATGTACAGCAGGTTCTTCACCTCATGGGTGATCTCAAAGCCAAAGCCCTCACCAATCACTACATGCCAGGAGGAGCCAAACTTCTTGTCCATCGTCTCTTTGATCATCTTAGCAGCGCTCTGAGGAATAAAGAGAAAGAGTCCAGGAGCATGCAGAGGGAGCAGCAGGTCAGAGAGATGGGAGGGGTGTGTTTGTGTATAAAATTCCCCACTCCTCCTCTCCTTTCAATGTGACTCAAGAGGAGGGTGAGAACTAGGGTGAGATTACAGTACAGCACAGCTACACTGAAGAGCACCCAGACTACCCAGTCTGAGACATTAGAACAGGGTGGGCAAAAAGGCCTCTGCGGGCCGGATCCAGCCCACGAAGCAGGTGGATCCGGCCCTTGGAGGCCTTTCCACTCCCCCACCCCCAGGCCAATTATGGCCTGGGGGCAGGAGGAGCATGCAAAGTTTTCTCCACCCTACCAGGTGGCGCTTGGAAGGGCCAGATGCTCCTGGTATGGCCCTACCAGGTGGCTCTTGGAAGGGCCAGATGCTCCTGGTATGGTGGGAGGAGCGCAAAGTTTCCTCCGCTCTGTCCCTGCCCTGTGAGCAGCATGCGGCGCTTTCAAGTGCCATGCACTCCTGGCAGGACAGGAGGAGACTTCACATGCTCCCCCACTCCCAGGCCCTGATTGGTCTGGGGGCAGGGGAGCGTGGGAAGTCTCCTCCCAGCCAGGGGCATGGGCACCTAGGAAGAATGGGGGAGGAGAAGAGGGTGAGCAAAGGCTCTCTCCCACCCCCAATCATGGTCTGGGAATGGGGAACCAGGAAGTATCCCAGCCCCATCCCGGAAGCCCAGGTCCACTTCAGAATTTTGTGAAGTGGCCTCCAGCAAAAAATTATTGCCCACCTCTGCATTAGAGGTTTGTATCTGGAATCTTATTCTCCTCTCACTCACATTGGTCTGAATTAGGACTTGGCCCACTTAAGTCTCATAAGAATAAGATGAACGTGAGGGGGGAAATCAGATAACTATTCTTTATTGTTTTTGAGGGAATTCCTGTTTCCTCGCTGCAAATCAGCAAAACAACTTTTGGGACTTGGCCAGGCTGTGAATGCCTTTTTCCCCAATAGCACATCACACTATGTATTAGTTAGAGAAGGGGTGAGAGAGGTGGGGAGATGCTGGATAGTGGCACAAGGCACTTTCCCAAACCTTGGACAAGCAGAAGATATGAAAAGCTCCCTCACTATCTAGTTCTGGCTCATTCCCAGCACCGAAAATCCATTGTAACACCAGAGTGTCCCCTTTGCTCAGTTGGAAATCATCTGAGCAGGGATAAAGGGATGTTCTAGACCAAGTGTGTTAATTTAGGAGGAAGCTATAATCTCTTTACCAGTGCAATGCCCCCTTGTGACATTTTGGATCAGAGACCTCTCTTCCACTTTACTCAGAATACAGAAAGCTGACTTACAAGAGGCCATGGGATGCTGCTTGTAAATCAGAATAGACCTGAAGGTTCTCTGATCAATGCTGGAAGCCTCGTCTGAGATTCTAATCACCCTTCCTTCCCCGTCCCTTTTTTGAATGTGTTCAGTACAGGAACAAAGCAACAGACAATCAGGACCAGGATGTCTGGCCTCCTTTCTGCCGCTCCCCTTTACTCTTGCTCAGAAGATTCCTCAATATGAAGACCAGCATGTCCTGACAGAAGAAGTAACCTTCTTAGCATGGACCGTTACCTCATTGTTGGTGGCATATTTCTCACAGGCAGTGACACACAGCTCCATGGCCTCCACACGCATCTCCTCTGGCATGTCTGTGTGCTGGTTAAAACAAATAAAAGGGAGCTCAGCAACTCAAAGAGCTGGGCACAAATCCAAAGAGCAGAAAAGCTGGTGTTATCTGTTCCCTCTATCATGCCACGGCTGTACTCTACATTCTTGGATATAAAACAGAAGAAACCAGACATGCTAGCTTCTCTGCTCTGTGCCTAGAGGATGCAAGAGCATCACCCAAAAGAAAGTTTAAATGCCAAGGGCTTGATATAAAACATAGCTCTGCCTTTGGAGAAATGCAGATGTTTAACATGGAAAAAGCTTATCGGGTCACATTTTGTTCATGCCTCCCTCCCAGCCAAAGCAGAATTGCTCCCTTGTTGTATTCCAATGATTCAGTGATTTAAAATAAGTTTCTAACTTTTCCTTTAGGAGAGTATTTCGCAGTCTAACATACCTTGCAGTGACCGCCATCTGAGGCTTTCCCTTCACTCATTTGCATTCTTTCATTCTTACCTTTAACTCTGGGACCCCCTAAGAAATTCCTTTCCCTTCTTGGTGTGCTTCATTGTCACATAGCAAAGTTAAAGATATTTAGGACCAAATTCAGGAGTGTTGTGAGCAATGTGGAGAGTTGGAGAAGAAAATGGATGTAGGTGACAAAGCAATGAGACTTGTCCCAATTTGGCATCGATTGAGTTTCTAAGACAGGCTTGGGCAAAATACAGCCCACAGGAAGCCCCAGGCAGGCTCCCCAACTGCCTCACCCCACGCACTTGCTGCTCAGAAACTCAGCTGCAGGGCAGTTTTTCTTTAAAACTTGTGAGTCTGGAGGGGAGGAGGAGGAGGGAAGGCTTTAGGAGCTGCTCCCACCCCAGCACAATCCCATTGGCAGGTTTCTGGCCAGAAATTGGCCAATGGGAGCTGCCTGTTTCAATAATAGGCAGTCAAAAAGCACAAGGGGCTCCAGAGCACATGACTGCAGCCTGTGCAGGAGCAGGGCAGGCAGGGAGGCTGATTCAGAAATGGCTGCTGGCTGACAAGTCTCCTGGCCAGATCCTGTCCCTGGCATCCCAGTCCCTCCCTTCCCCAACCATCTGCCTCCCCACTCCACATACCCAAATTCTCTGCCCCCTCCTGTATCCATATCCTCTCCCAGATTCAGCCCCCCAATCCTCTGGCTCAGATCACAGTCCCCTCCTGCCCTAGCTCACAACCCAAATCCCTGTACCCGCTCCTGTACCCCAATTCCCTGCCCTAGGTCAATCCAACCCCCTCCACCCCAGTCCAGTGGCCCAGGTCACAACCTCCTTCACCCAAACTCCCTCCCTTACCCCAAGCTCCCTTCTGAACCCAACGTCCATCCCAGACCCTGCACCTCCTTCGTTAATATCATCGAAGAGTGTGGCCCTCGACCACCTTCCAAATTCTTGGAGCGGCCCCCTCCATCAAAAATTATTGCCCACCCCTGTTCTAAGACAAGCACGACACATCCAGTGGAGTTAAGGTCTGCTCTCAGTTGCATCAGTGTAGTCAATGGAAGACCAGCGTAAGTAAGAACAGAATAAAAGGATGAGAAGAGGTAGGTATAAAAGAAAAAAAATAACTAATGGAAGAGCTAAAATAAAGGGAAGATGTGTTAGTTGCTCTCCTTTTAATTTCTTTTTCCTATATTTCTTTTGTACATCCTCTCCTGTACAACCTCAAGATTTCAGCTGCACTCATTTCTGCACAATCATTCAACATCAAATATGTAAAAGTTATACTGCATTTACTACTTATATCTAGTTTCTGAACAATTTATACCACTATTTACAACACTGCTAATTATAAACTCTTCCTCTCCTATGGGAATTGCACCTATTTATTCCAAGCTGAATTTAAAATTTACTTATCTTACCCTTTCCTTATAGATCATTATATTTTGTGCTCCTTTTATGGTAAGAATAGGCAGGCAGCCCTGAGATATTATTGCAACAAGTCCTACAAAGAAACCTAAGGCACCCATTGTTCTCTTTTCTTTTATTTCATTGCCTAGAGATGTCTCTTTCTCATGCACCTTTGAAAAATATCAAGCTGCACAGATGATCCTGAATGTGGTGGGAGTGCTGTAAAGACAGCATGCTCAGTGCTGAAGGAGTGGGGTCAAAAAAGGATTGCTTTCCAGAGCCTTAGCTAGTTCTGGCTGGCTTGGAGACAACATTGATTAACTTTCGAGTAGGCTTCTTCTAAGTTGCCTCACAGTAGAGTGGAACATGGGAAAATGGTAGGAGGATGCAGCCATCAGATAGAAGTGGTGTGATACAAACATATTCTTGTAGCAACTCAAAGTTGAAAATTTACTGGTATGGAGTAGGGATGTAAAATCCTGTTTACATCTCGTACACATAACGTTTAACCAGTTAACCGCTTAAAAGGGAGCTGGCAGGGGGCAAGCCCTGTGGTATGGCAGGCTGCTCTGGCCAGGCTGGGCCCACCGTGGGCAGGGGCTGTTCCAGCCAAGCTGAGGCCATCACACCATGCCACAGGCAGATGGGGAGCTGCTCCAGCCTGGCCAGGCCACCAGTTAACTATTCACATCCCTAGTTTGGAGGGCAGGTAGGAATGGAACACAGTAATCTCCCATCCTTGTACCCTGACATTCTTATGATCATACAAGACACGCTTGTTCTTACCCTGATCAGCGGGAAGCTGTGAAGTCTTTTATAATCTGCCTCCTCTTTTTTCCCCTCCCCAGTGTCTGCCATGGTCCTTCCACTGTGACCCTGGGAAGGGTAGAGGTGCTTACTTAAGACCAGTCAGTTGCCGCTGTGCAGATTGGCAAGAGGGATGGAACGCTCAAGAATCAGGCAGAATACAGTTTCAGCAGAAGCAAGAGGTTCTCTGCCCAAAGGACATTGCTTAAAAGAGAAGGGGAAAAAAATAAGTTAATTTTAAGAAGGCCCAGTTTGATCACTCTGAGATGCAAGGTGTGAGTCCTGCCATCTCCTCCGTTGCTTACTGCTTCTCAATACTCCACAGCGTATAATTAACCTGGAGAACTCTGTTGCAAGAGTTTTGAGGCAAAGAGCTTACAAAAAGTAGTCACTTTCCAGAGTCAAGACTTTGAATGTGCTGCACCTCCCACGGTCATAATTCCATAAAGAGGCATAGAGCTCTGGCTTGATGGCTGCTTAGTTGCTGGCAATGGGGCAGGCCACAATAAAGTTATAGCAGAGCTTTCCAATAACCAGAAAGCATGGCATCAATCATCCTCTGCTTTAAGTAGCTGTCCCATTCTTTTCAGGATACAATATTAATGTGCACGCAACAGGAACAGATTTTCCATGGATTTTAGGACAGAAATAGTTAATGGGGCAAAACGTGCACGCAACAGGAACCGATTTTGCATGGATTTTAGGACAGAAATAGTTAATGGGTTGTTTTAGTTTGTTTTACAACTTCTTTTTTAACTCCTGGGTTTGTCAACAAATGCAATACCACACCAGAGTCTGTTACCTCACTTCTCCTGGTCGATTCCTGGCCAGTTGCTCAAAAGGTGATGCAGTCCCACAGCGCTCTCTGATGGGCAAATTCAGAACATTTCATCTTGATCTTCTTTGATCCTTCAGAGAAAGCAGGAACATCAGAAATATATTTTGAAATGAGTCATAGTAATGCCATCTGGAGACATACTAGCTGAAGTAACAAGTACTAGGGCTACTGGTTCTCCCAGATGGGATTGTGAGTGTTTTTACACAAAATTCTGAAGTACCCAGCTGTGCAGTCAGCACTAGTCACAGACTGTGGAAGCCAGGAGAGTAAACTGGATGGCTGAAACAAGGCAATTCCTTCAAGCTGTGCAATATTTTGGGTTCATCTCCCAAACTTCTCAGCCACGACCCCAAACCCCATGGTATAAACACAATCCATCTTAGAGTCGCTCATATGAAGCCAGGCTTCATGAACTGGGCTTGTTTAGTTTCGAAAAAAGAAGATTAAGGGGGGACATGATAGCGGTTTTCAAATATCTAAAAGGGTGTCACAAGGAGGAAGGAGAAAATTTGTTCCTCTTGGTTTCTGAGGACAGGACAAGGAGTAATGGGCTTAAAGTGCAGCAGGGGAGGTTTAGATTGGACATTAGGAAAAAATTCCTAACTGTCAGGGTGGTCAAATATTGGAATAAATTGCCAAGGGAGGTGGTGGAATCTCCCTCTCTGGAGATATTTAAGAACAGGTTGGATAGACATCTCTCAGGGATGGTGTAGACGGAGCTTGGTCCTGCCTTGAGGGCGGGGGGCTGGACTCGATGACCTCTTGAGGTCCCTTCCAGTCCTATTATTCTATGATATACAGTGCCCAGTTTAAACACACAGGCAGGTTGGGGAGAAATACTGTCATGAGGCATTGCACCCATAAAACGTCTTTTAATTTTAAAAAGAGCTGGTTTATAACAACCTCGTGGAAGATTCACTGGCAACCCGTTTCTGTTTCACGGCATCAGACTCTCTTCTGAACACCGCCCCGTCACACACCGACGGGTACCAGACCCACCTGATGCAGGTGGGGGAGGAGAGGATGGGGGGG